ACAATGAAACGTTTTCTTTATTCACTGAAGCTTTCTGCTTTATAAAGTTCAAGGTTTATAAGTTGAAAACTCTAAAAGGGTGTAGGTGTGAATGTGATAGTGTCAATGACAAATACAACATAATTCCAATTGCATATGTATAGATATACATCGCAATATGAATTCAGCGTCTCGGTTTCAGAAGACTGATGAGATTATATGTGGTAGATATCTATTGTAGAATTAGTTGTTGTGAGATCCGAGACCGTCACGAGCAGAAGCTTCTTTATTGTAGAAAATCCCATGCATTCTTTATACAGGCAGCTTAGTAATGAGAATAAGAAAGCAAACATGTAATGCTGATAACATCATTGCTTACAGAAACGGAAAGACAAAGGATAAAATAAGGAGAGAATAATGCACATAGGATCAAAATGTGAGTAACGTCGAGAGTAAAAGAACGACACGAGAGAAATAACGTATATAAGAACATTTTTTAGAATGATGCTACGTAAAAGTTGCGTTAATTCTGAAAATTCATTCGATTTTGAATTTAATTCAGTGATTTAGAGTTCTATAAAAACAAATTTTATATTATATGCTAAATTTTCACTAATTATTAGAATACTAGGATGTCCAGTAATTCGTATATTGGAATATTCAAAAACATAATAAAGATTTATAGAAAATGTTATATACTTGTTTTATATTGACATTGGTACGAGAGAAAATCATTTTGAAATTGATAAGATTTTATTCGTTCTCAATCAATTTAAGAAGCCTTACCCGATCATAAATGTATTAATTAGAAGTTTAATACGTTTCATTTTCATATTAACCTCTGTGACTCGAAATGTCATTGAATCTAACATATCAGATAAAACAGTTATACGACGTCTAATCTCAAGATAAATAGGTATTTTGGGACTAATAAAAAACAAAAGAAATGTCCTTTACATTTACTAATTACATTTATTCTGAATGCAAAATGGTTTTTCCCCACTCGACCTATATGGTTTATAAATGATAGATTTTTCGTCTAGTCACTGTGCAAACGAAACTAAAATATTTTTTTTTAAAAGAATACCTAGAATAAAATGTTGATGACGAAATGATTAATAAAATACTCAATATGATTTATAAAAAAACAAATAAGGAAGTGACACATAGACAATGTATTTAAATAGTTCGATTGAATTGATCGAAAATTGGGGATTTCATATCGAAAAAAATCAATAAAATCTTTTTGGTCTAATCGGATAACTGTTCTTTTTCTCTTTTAATAAATGGAAACACTCATTACACTGAATCTATCATTGAGAATCTATAGAATTTCATATAGTGTGACAATTTTTCCAATGATCTGTTTATTTTTTGTTACAAATTATTTTCCAATGTTTTATTGCTTTTGACTAATCAATAAGATGTCTTTTTTATTTATATTTATCATTATAGAATCAATTTTCACTGATTAAAACTTCTAGTAATTAAAAACTTGTTCCATATAATAGAAACCATGTTTAGTCGATTTATTTGGTTTATTCTGCTGCCCTTGGATCAATTTATGGTTGAAATGGCTCTTGTTAAATACGATTTTATTATTCGTACTATTCCTTCAAATCCCGATGGTTATCCACGTCCTGTTGTTATTATGCATCATGCTAATTCTTCATGGGATATCGATAGACCTTTTCCGGGTCCACTTATTCGAGCAAAACTTGGTGATCGAATTCAAATTCGAATTACAAATATGTTACGTGATCAGTCAACTTCTCTCCATTTTCACGGATTTCATATGCTCAAAAATCCATGGGCAGATGGTACCGAACATATCACACAATGTCCTGTCAATCCTTATACATCATTCATACAAGAATTCAATGTACTACAATCAGGTACATTTTGGTATCATTCACATAGTGCGCAACAGTATGCCGATGGATTGATAGGACCAATTATTATCGATAATGATCCAATAGAAAATCGATACACTTACGGATCGCGTGATCATGTAATTATGTTTCAAGAATGGTACCATGAGACTTGGTCAGATCTAATGACTGCCTATCAAGGCCCATTCGGTGCTTATCGAGATAATATTCCAATTTATCCATGGCCACCTACGACTTTTCTTATCAATGGACATGGTCGATTCGATTGTCGTACAACGAATTGTACAGACAATGGCACCTGGATTGATGCCTGTGGTCGACAACAACCCGCTCAATGTATTCCACTTCGTGAACCTCTTCTCGGTTTATGCAAACGTGAAGTATATCCTATCGATGAATTTCAATGCTTACCCGGTAAACAAATGCGTTTAAGATTGATCAATGCAGCCAGCGGTATCCCATTTCGTTTTTGGATTGAACAACATAATCTAACGATTGTTGCACGTGATAGCATCGAAGTTGTACCAATTACCGTATCTCATATTCATATTCCTATAGGACAACGAATCGATGTGATTATACAGTGTAATCAGGATTCAAGTCGAAACTATACAATGTTTGCCGCAAGTCGCAATAGTTTTCAACCTGCTCATATCATTACTGGACCGACACCAACAATGTGGACAACAGCAATCTTAACGTATGCTAATTCTAGCATGGTAATGAACAATATTGATGAAGTTTTTAATGAATCAAAATCAAATCCAGATAGCTCATTTTTTGAATATGAATATTTGAAACCACTTGTATCTCGTCGTGCTTTACCTGCTGTTCGACGAGTAACATTGAAATCTGTTGTTCTTTGGAATAATCGAACAGGTATCGATGCTCTCGAAGAATGGGCCATCAATGGTATTACTTTCGAAACACCAAAGGAACCATTGTTGCAAGCAAATTATTTTGATGGAACATTAGAAAACGCCATTGCCGAACGGCGATACGGTCGTGTTGGCAACATTCATTCCACACACATACTCGATTTTGAATACGGATATACCTACGAAATATTGATGATTAATGATGATCCACAGCAACATCCATGGCATATTCATGGATATACTGTCGATTTTATTGCTGCAGGAAAATTGCCTACTACAGAGCCAGTTACGTGCAATTCGACAGGAAGACGAACAGAAAATTTCGATTATAATACTATTCTTCCAGCACTCAATGCAACACCTCCTGTTCTTACCGTCGGTGATTCATTCAATATGCCTCGAGAAAGTTATGTGGCATTTCGTTTTACGGCAAACAATCCAGGTCCATGGTTTCTTCATTGTCATATGGATTGGCATATTTCGCCTGGTCTATCAGTAGTTCTTTCAGTTGGAAAAAATGGACAATACAGAGATTTGATAGATCCTCCTTACGAAAACTTTAATATGTGTGGAACAAGCCAAAAATGGGCTAGGAGACAAATTATGTCAACAAACTTCAACAATCAAATCAACCTTTGATCTATCTTTGTTTATGATTTTTCTATTTATTTCTATTCACTTAGTCATTAAGTACTAATCTTATCATTAAGAGAGGGTCCACGAGACGATCGAGTATCGTGTCAAATATCGAGGCACTCGATGAAATTTAGATTTTTGATTTGACATTCTCATTTTGTTCAGCATCATTTGAAACCTCTAAATCCAAATTTTTAG